GAATTGCTAGGGGGCAAGAAAGTATGGAAAGGTTAGTTTCCGTGTTGACAGAAAAAAGATAAGCGGAAGAGATTTTTAAATGCAACATTAAAGTTTGCCTCAAGCTTTTTCCCGTCTCTTCCAGAAACCAGTTATTTACTAAATATTATACTTAACTTAGTATTTTAATTAAATCGCCTGGGATCCTGAATACTAGCAAAAAGCAGAGACTGATATTTATTTTTAACTTTTGTTGTTTTACCGATACATGCGTTCATTTTCTCTGCTCACTGAAGTTACTAAAAAATTATTAAAAAGCACAACAGTGGTTTTCCACATTATTGCTGACAAACAAAGGATGTTCAGTAATTTATGGTTCGCTTCCCACCGCCCTCCTCTGACACCTGTGTTTCATTCCTTCACTTTGCTCTCGAAGCCTTGAGCTAAAGGTCTGTTTGTTTTTGCAGAAATGATGGGCAGTTATCCATCATTAACAAAACATACCTATTGACTCAAGTGCGATGAGAGATCTCAGATATGATGGGAGCTTTGGAGAACCCTCGCTGAAGCAAAAGTCAATATTTGTCCTCAGTTACCTTGTCACACGATGTCTACACAAGCCCCATTCAAATAATTGCCTTAGTGCTTTCCACCTGCATGAACATTGACATCACCCCCCCCCCCACTAACTTAATTTCAGTGCCGTTTAAGTTGAGAGATATTTTGTTCATTACCAAAGCGGGAATTGTGAAAGAATAATGTTCTTATACTTGATATTTTAGTGTTTAGTCCTTGGAGTGGAGCAATTGCACTCAAAAGACCAACAAATTACTATTTGTGCACAATCCATTATTTTGTATTTCAAAGGGCCTGTTGGAACCCGAGACATCCTTCACTGAAGAGAAGCTGTTTGTGGGCTACATGTAACAGATACTTGTGCATGTTTGGTGATGCGTTCTTTCTTTGGATATCTATGAACGGAGAAAGAGTCAAGTATACTATCAGTAGGGGTGGGAATCACCAGAGGTCCCACGATACGATATTATCACGATACTGCGATATTATCACGATACTGCGATATTCTGAGTATTGCGATACCATAGGCCTATATTGCGATTTATTGCTTTTTTCAACTTAAAATTATGTCCCCAAAGGAAAACTGTCAACATGTTTTATCTAATAACATAAAGTTTTCAGTCTGTTCATCTCACTTCAATCATTTTTATTGCAGCAAAATAGGATTGTCAAGCAGACAGACTGACCAACAATGTCCTAAATGTTGCATGAACCTGACAAACTGAACTGTTTGTATTACTACATAGTCCAACTTAACTGAATGCAAACATGTGGACTCAGTATATGAACTATAACTTATATAAGTAGGATATAAGAGTTATATAACTCAGTATAACTTGCGATGCGTGGACGTCGAGGGCAAAGAGACAGTTATGCGCTGCACTCTCCCCATGAGCCTGGCTACTTTTGGCAGATTTAACCCAATTGTGAGGCCAGATGTCTCTTTGTTTTGACCAACTTCCTACCAATCACGCTGACCTGGGACCTTTGCTGACCTCACCAGAAAACAACTCAGCACCATCTAGTGGACTGAAAAAGCAATTGATTTGATTTTTCTAAAAAAAAATATATATATATATATTTTTTTATAGTTTATATAATAAAAGATCGATACTTGGCGCCCGTGTATCGATACAATATCGCCACGCAAAATATCGCGATACTATGCTGTATCGATTTTTCCCCCCACCCCTAACTATCAGTAAACAAACAGAGAAATGTGAATATTTGGTTATGTACACAAAAATTTGTGTGAAAATGTTTTTACCTGTCAGGATGAGAGATTGATATCCAAAACTGTTTGCTTGGACACCTTTCAAAGAAGTTTGAATATCAGCAAAAAAGAAAAGAAAAAGACAATTCTGTGTTTACATCTTGTCATTTCCTCAGCCAAAGACTTTGCTGTATAATCAACAACTGTTGTAACAGTACGCTGTGTTCCCAGATCTTAAATAATAAGCTAATATGAAAGTATAAGCATTATAGGTTAGCTCATGCCCACTGATGATGAAGCACAATACACTGGCCTTCATCGATTTTACAACCACATAAAGTAAATTTTCCTCAAAATATTCCTGTATTTGTTTTTTCTTAAGTGAAACCTTAAGTGAACCAAAATTTGGTTTTTTTTTCTCTGTCTATTAGATGCAGAAACTAACACTTTAACATGCTGCAGAATCTCCACAAGGAGTTGTTCACTCATGATCAGACCTATTTTCTGCAAACCAACTTGAAGGCCGTTTTACCCAGTTTATAACATGCTAGCTCCAATTTGCAACAGCAGACCTCCTTTTTCCTGTCAATGTTGTCCATTTATACTCATACAGGAGTAAGATACTGTGCACATAGATAAGGATTGAGTTAATGGATAGCTGTACACAAAACTCTTCTGTTTTGCAGGTTTGAAATGTATAGATATAAAACCTAAAACACACAAACGCAGCTTCACATAAGATACATGTGAATACATAAGGCAGCAGCTAGCAGCTCTGTGAGGATGTATTCATAGGCACAGCTGTACTCTGAGCTTAATGCTAGCATGCTAACATGCTCGCAATAACAACGCTAACAAGCGGATGCTAATGTTCACCCCGTTCAAAGCTTAGTTTAGTGGGTTATAATGCTAACATTTGCTAATTAGCGCTAAACACACAGCTGAGGGTGTTGGGAATGTCATTATATTTGCAGGTGTTTGGTCTTTAACCAAAATACCAGACAAATTGATAAACTGGGCATTAGTGATATCTGTAACCGAATAGTTTTTGAGAAATTTCACACAAAACACTCAGTATCAACCTCATGGTGGCACTAAAGGAACAGTCAGAGGGATTCTTCCTTTGACCAACATGAATATCTGGACAAATTTCAGAGCAAACCACTCTAGATTTGTATGGACATCTCACGACTAGGAGGCACAGGGTGGACTCTCCGCTCCAAGCTTCTCATACTATTGCACTGTTTATTGTTACGCACCATTCACCGAGTCAAATTTATTGTATGTGTGACGTACTGTATGTACTTGGCAATAAACGCTTCCGATTGTGAAACTGCAGCTTTTCAGTTGGTGCAAAATGTCTGAGGAATTGAAATATAGAAAAAGACAACTTACTCATTGTTTCAGTGTTAATTTAATCATACAAATGCTTAATTATAGATACAGGAGAAAAAAAAAAAAAAGAAGCTTTATTTTGACAGTTTCTCTTCAGATAAATGTGCTATTTTAGGACTATGTAAACTTTCATCTCATCCATTCACCATGCCACCCATCTCAAATCTGTACATAGTCACAAAATAAAACAAAAAAAATGAATCCAGCAATATTCAGATTTCTCACCACCTGTCTCTCTCTCACTCACCAAAACACACACAAGCAAGCTCACAAGAAGTAAGCGCGTGCGCGCGCGCGCACACACACACACACACACACACACACACACACACAGGCACACACACACACGCGCACGCACACACACACACACAAAGAAATAAAGAATAAAAAGACTGACTTGACTAAAAGAGGCAACAGAGAACAGTGTATACTGTTTGGGAGGAGAACTCTCAGCTGACTCAAAAACAAACACAGCAGCGCTGCAAAACAGAATGCTGGTGACTTTCACGAGTTGGGTACACGTGATCGTAGAAGCAATGAACTCCAAATGTCATGAATATGTTCATATGTTACAACTAGGATAACATTTGATAAATTAAAATATCCTCCTAGACAAAAAATAGAAAAAGTTCCATCAACAACTTTTCCCCCATTGTATTTCTAAGCCCAAAATACAGGATGAAATGCACCGTCTGACATGACGAACGCAGCAGAGCTGAAGTGAAAATCCAGGTGCGATTATAGCAGGTATGCAAAGCCTAAATGCCTGATCAATACAAACGGAAATCAATGTTAATGTTTAGAATGAGACATTGGTGAAGTGATGAAACTACGGTTTAAATCTTTGTGGTTAACACAATGGAAACAAAACTTAAAGCTGTGAGGAACAAAGGCCTTTAGAGGAGAGCTGATAAGCAAAACCAACAAAACTTTCTGGAAAATGCTGGCATCACAATCCTCAATAAACCCCCTTCCCCCCCCCAAAAAAAAATCACTTTGCCTCCTCAGATGAGGCGGACAGTGTTGTGCAAATAGCAGTAACAGAACATCAGTGCTAGTAAAAACTGATGCAAACCATTCATTTTCATATTAAAATAGTCTTCAACTCGTCACTTTCTTTGATTTGTTAGCACCACCTGCTGGCTGTAAATGGGACTGTTTGCATGTGCAGCGCACAGGACGACCGCAAATAAATAATAACAAACGGGGCAATTAGTGAGTCAGTTCATCCAAACGGTGCAGAATCACTCAACAATACTCCAGAGGTACACGCCCAGTAAAGCGCTCTCCATATCGATGCGCATGTCAATAGACACATCGTCCTTTGCCCAAGTAGTATACACCATTTTTATGTCAGTTAAATCCAAAGAGAAACCATAACGTACATGCACACTTAACAGGCACATACACACACACACATATATATCTAGTACACTTACTGTAGACATCGACTCAGAAACTACAGTCACTCACCAGGCGAAATAGATTTAGATGGCTTTTTTTAAACCCTTCCTCACACCTCACTTGCTCAAACTCACTCGCATCCTTTTGCGCTTCAGCATCTATTTAAAGCGAAAACCCACCCTAAAAAAAATGCGCGCACACACACACACACACACACACACACACACACACACACACACACACAC